TACCACCACCTCCGACCTGTCTACCCGTGCCGTTGCCGCTGTCACCGCCTCTGACCTGTCTACCCGTGCAGTGCCGTCGTCGCTGCCCGTGTCGACGGCAATTAACCCGATCACGCCGCCTGAATAAGTAAAGGGCACAGTGTGTATGTGCCCCGTCCTCAGGGAGCAGTGTGCGCCGGGACAGGAGAGACGCGACGATTAGAAGAGGCACGACGGTGGGAGAGAGACGCGAATGTGAGGGAGATGTGAATGTGAGAAAAACGCGATTGCGAGAGGGGCTCGGCAGGCGAGCGTGGGGAGGGGAGGAGACGGCGATGGGAGAAATGCACGCGCAAAGATGAGACGGAGCAATGCAGAAAAGCCGATTTGAAAGTGAATGCGGTATACATGTAGCGATAATTCACTCACATACATGAAAGCACGAAGAGTAAATATGTATGCAAGAGCGAAAGATATGTAAATGCTGTCAGCCTGTCAGTGTCAGACAGAATAAAGTACTTATGCATAGGTATGATCTAAACGCTCGCAGCGGTGTCATATTTAAGTTTCCCGAATCATTTTATTGGTAAGATATAAATACGTTTTCATCATTACGAAATCAACAAAGCTCATTAAATACTTATCATCATAAATAAAATTACATTTCCGGAATCATATTGAACGCTGCGGTGCTGACTGCTGATATGCGCAGTTATCAGTTATCACCATGCCGTTCTAAATGAGCGATACACTGAAAGAATGACGTAGCATAAAGAAGCATCAACCAGAGAATAAGAGGAGAGAAGGGACATAGCGTTCAGTCGGCGCATGGGTGGACCGAGCAGCAGATATGAGACGCGAGCTGAGACCTCCGTGAGGGGACAGAACAGAGGAGGCAGGTGGTGATAGATGACCGGACTTATCCTCCTATCATCGGTTGGTATGGGTGTGATCAGCACCGGCTGTGTTCCCACCTGGGACCGGTATCACCCCACAGGGTTAGGGACGGAGGGAGGGAGATATCACCGCCACAGGGTTAGGGAGGGAGGGAGGGAGATATCACCTGCACAGGGCTTAGGGAGGGAGGCCGGTATCGCATCCACAGGTTTAGGGAGGGAGGGAGATATCACCACCACAGGGTAAGGGAGGGAGGTATCACCTCCAGAGGGTAAGGGAAGGAGGCTGGGGAGGTCGGTATCGCTTCCATAGGGTTAGTGAGGTCGGTATCACCGCCACAGGGTTAGGGAGGGAGGCTGGTACCACCTCCGAAGGGCTAGGGAGGCTAGACCACTGCATAAAAGTGAATATTAATTATTGAAACTTCAGGGTGGCATTAGAACAGTTTGTAAATGCCTTTGTCATTGTGAGGCAAATGTTCCGTGTATAACATAAAATAGAAAAAGATATAGGCTCATAAATATATTGATACAATTTCCGGTGAGGAGCAAATTAAGTGATTCCAATGCGTGGGCTTATATTGTTGAATGACTAGCTAAAAATACCGGCATAAATATTAGTGTTAATATGGCAGCGATTGATAATGCTCGGTAAACGATAGCTAATGAAGGTATATTCGATACCTACACCATTTTTAGCGCCGTGGGTAATAACATGCCACATTCTAATACGGCGTTGAAATTATGCAATGCAAATGTTTATCTCTTATGAATGCAGGACGTCACTGAAACGCCTGCCATTTTATCTGAGTAAGCTAAAAGGGTATTGCTCCGCGATTATGTAATAGCTTTGTGATTGCCGCTCCTGCATTCACTCAACTCTATCCCCTAAGTTCGTTCAAGGTTGACTGTAATATTGACTGACAGCCTCTCAGATGATTTGGAGGAATCCATACGATACGGAAGCTGTTCAGGCTCGATCCAATCAACAGATGAACATACCGCAAACTCCGACTGCATCCCGCCGAGGACAGAATTGGTGAATTCTGGTCAGCGCTGAACCTTTTTTTCGTTGCCGAGCGGCATGGCTTGTGACCAAGTGAAAGGGAGTGTCAACTGTCAAGGCTCATGGCATCACATGTCTCCCTTCGATGCACGTTGTTGGCAAACTTACTGCGAACTAATCCTAGAGTGACCTAAGAACGGACCAATAAGTGGGAAACAGAGCAACAGATAATTTAATATCCACATTTTCTATTTTGATGACGCGATATCTCTATTACGCCTCTCCCTATGCATTTCTTTCACTTTATGCTTTATGATTTGTTCACACTGGCGGATCCAGGGGGGGGGGGCCACGGGGGCCATGCCCCCCCCCCAAAGGCCTAAAGTGGCCGGTTTGGCCCCCCCCCAAAACGTCCGAAAAAATGCTAAGAAAATATACCATGATGGAGGTTTTTAGCCACTTGGTGAAGTAAAGTTTTCCACAGCATAATATGGAAGCAATATGGTAGCAGTGAGGGTCAGTCAAAAGTTGCGCGAGAGGAGTCGACCTTAAAAAAAGACTGTTGTTGGCACGTGTTTATGGCGCGGCAGCTGGTAGTTGGCGGTGTTTCGCGTGGTGTGGCATCACTGGCCGATCCAGGGGGGGGGGGGGCACGGGAGCCTGAGGTGCCCCTGACAGGTCCATGGTGCCCTTGCTAGGCCTGTGGTGCCCCTGGACCCTGGCAGGCCTGTGGTGGCTCTGGCGGGCCTAGGGTGCCCCTGCTAGGCTGCTGATGCCCCTGGGACCTGACAGGACTGCGGTGCCCCTGACAAGCCTAAAGCGCCCCCAACAGGCCCGTGATGTCCTCGACAGGCCCAAGGTGCCCCTGCGTGATGCCGTGATGCCTGCGAGGCCGGCAGGGCCCCTGACAGGACCATGGTGCCCCTGCGAGGCCGGTGGTGCCCCTGGCAGGTCTCTGGTGTCCCTGACAGACCTGGGGTGCCCCTGACAAGCCTGTGGGCCCCTCACAGGCCCGTGGTGCCCTTGCTAGGCCTGTGGTGCCCCTGGCGGGCTGGTGGTGCCCCTGCTAGGCCGGTGGTGCCCCTGACAGGCACCACCCGGGCACCAAGGGGGGTCATGACCCATGTGGCCCCCCTTGGATCTGCCACTGATACATAATATAATAATATATTGATTTGTAAAGGCTAGACCGGTGGTGCCCCTGGCAGGCCTGTGGTGCCCCTGCTAGGCCCCTGGTGCCCCTGGGCCCTGACAGGACTGTGGTGCCCCTGCTAGGCCTCTGGTGCCCCTGCAAGGCCGGTGGTGCCCCTGTAAGGCCTGTGGTACCCCTGCTAGGCCTCTGGTGCCCCTAACAGGCCCATGGTGCCCCTGCGAGGCCGGTGGTGCCCCTGGCAGGTCTCTGGTGTCCCTGACAGACCTGGGGTGTCCCTGACAAGCCTGTGGGACCCGTCACAGGCCCGTGGTGCCCTTGCTAGGCCTGTGGTGCCCCTGGCGGGCTGGTGGTGCTCCTGCTAGGCCGGTGGTGCCCCTGCTTGGCCGGTGGTGCCCCCGGGCACCAAGGGGGTCATGACCCATGTGGCCCCCCTTGTATCTGCCACTGATACATAATATATTGATTTGTAAAGGCGTTATGGCTTATGCAATATGCAATTGCAGGCACTTGGTATCCCTCACTTATCCCTCATTGGGGGCTCTGGCGGGCTCCTGAGGGCCCACGTCTATCTCCATTCTCCGGGAGCCCTAGACGGGCTCCTTTGGGTCCTTTCAGTCCACTACAGCATAAGAGGTCTCCACGCAAGTCCTATACATCTGAGGGCGTACCCTGACGTCTGAGGTACCCAACTGCAGCTCCAATGGTGTCTTACACTGGCGGATCCAGGGAGGGGGCATTTAGGGCCATGCCCCTTTCCCAGAGGCCTAAAGTGGCCCGTTTGCCCCTCCCCCAAACGATAATGAAACATAGTTCAATCAGTGCGTGGCCCAGGAGCCGAGTTAGACTGGGGGTGTTTTACCACCTCCCGGCCCGCAAAGGGACCCAAGAACTGACTCGAAGCGGGTTAACTGGTCGACAAAAGCAATGGTAAGTGTTCACAAAGTAATATAAAGGCATGGGTCGGGTGGACTACCATTTATATATTTTTCTTTTTAGTTAAAAAAAAATTAATAGTGTCAGAGCTGTGACGAAAAATAAGTGGCCTAAATCCGATGAGAAAACAGGATTTGGGGGTACCCTAGGTTTGGCTCCGCATGAGTTGCCCCCCCCCCCCAAAAAACTCAAGCCTGGATCCGCCAGTGTTTGTTTACTGTGCCCCCTCAACCAAACGCTGGACAATTATTTCTGCCTTACAAAATCACATTCTCTTCACATTCTCCCAGCACTCTCGCATACTCTCTTCTGACTCCTTACTCCACAGTCCACTCCCACGCTCTGTCTCCATCCGTTCCCGCCCCTGCCTTAGTCTCAAATCACCGAGTAAGTGTTCACTGAAGTGTGACATCAGAAATAAAACACCATGCCATTTGAAAATCTGCGACGTCACGACCGAACCCTTATTTACGATGCGTCAGAGGGGCCAGCGCCGGTTCCGCGTCGTTACCCCGGCGTGCGTCCATTGATTTTTCTTGTCTGAACGCCCGCTCATAGAGTCTGGCTGCGGCACACCCGCAGATGTCAAATGCCTTTAAATCATGCGCGGGACCGTATGAACGGCAGTGGCGCGAACAAAGGCCCCGGCAGCGTCCCACGATGAAAAGGCAGCTGCCGCCGATCGGCGCAGCGCGAGGGCATTGTCGGAGGCGACTGGCTCCGTTATTCTGCGAAAATCGCCACCCTCTGCGAGATACGGCCGGCCATAAAGCGCCGTCCAAAACCTATCATCACGATCGGCTGAGTGTCGGCTCTCCCTTTCAAGAGTATCCCGTCACCCACACCTGCCGAAGCCCGGAAGCTGAGCAGGATCTCTCTGTCGATCCCGCTATTGTGAGTTGTGACTCAGGATGGCCGGAAAGCCCGCTGCAGCAGCTGCCCTGACTCGGTGACTCGGGGGCGCGACTCGCAGTTGCCGCCTCACCTCGACAGTGCCCGGACCCGTGTCCTCGCCTCCGTCACCGCTGCCGCCATGAGGAGTACCACGGCGTCGCCGCTGGCTCTTCTGGCGCTGACCTGCGCTGTGCTGGGCGCTCAGGCCAGTGTGATTGTGTTCCGCGAGAGTGGAGGGGTGCAGTGCGGCACAGGTCGCTCCTGTGTCTCAGCCCTCGCCTGTCCGGAGATCATCTCTGTCCACCAGCTGGTGGGGAGGCCCATCTGTGGGTTCAGCGGTCGGATCCCCTTCATCTGCTGCAGGCTGAGGTCGGGCGGCGATGGGCAGTCGGGAGATGTGACCTCAGACGAGCGACTAACCTCCAGTTCGATAGTCTCTGACGGACAGCTGCCACCTCCGGATGCTGCTGGGCAGCGTTCACCTCTGGCTCCTGATGGTCAGCAGTTATTGGCACTCCCAGCGGACTCTAACGAAAAACTGAGGCCACCTCCAACGACAGTCTCTGATGGAACAACTTTATCAGGTTCATCAGATGGACCAGGTGATCTGCCGTCCATCAGCTCATCAAATCTGTCGACTTCAGGTAGAATGAACATCAATGAAGAGGAATTGGACGACCGCGAACCGACGGAATTGCAAGAAGGGTTAAATCTTCCAGAAAAGGAAACCCCACCAGAAGAGTCCATCTCAATTCCGTTTAACGGGTCGCAAGAAGACCATCAACCACCACTGGCAGCGTTCGCTGAAGAGACGACCGAAACTGAACCGGAGGACGAGGAGGATGCTGAGTGGGACGATGGCTCGTGTGGATTGGTATCGTTGAGCTCAGCTCTGCAGCGACAAAGGAGGGACACCTCTTCCGCTCCACTCCAGCCTGTGGAGGAGGTGATACCTCCACCGGAGACCGACCGATTTCGGACCGAGGTGGTACAGGGCAGAGGCGTGGACCAGCCCGGTCGCTGGCCCTGGATGGCCGCTGTGGGTCGGCAGAGGCCCGGCGACCCCACTCCGACCTGGCTGTGCGGCGGGGCGCTGCTGAGTGCTCGCTGGGTGGTCACCGCCGCCCACTGTGTACCCACGGACGATGTGGCCTCTCTCAGGGTTAGAGTTGGAGAGCTGCGTCTGTCAGCTCCGGCGGCGGTGGAGCGAGGCGTGACGCGCGTGCTGCGTCACCCGGAGCAGACAGCCGCACTGCACGACCTGGCTTTGCTGCAGATGAACCGCCCCGTCCGCCGCTCGGAGACGGTGAGCGCCGTGTGCCTGCCGTCTCCCGGTGCCGACTTCACCGGCCTTCCGGTCACCCTCACCGGCTGGGGTCGACTCAGCTTCGGCGGCGCCACGGCCGACGTCCTGCAAGAGGCTCAGCTGCGGGTTACCGACACAGCCCAGTGTGAGGCCGCCTACAGTCGCCTGGCTGGCTTCTCTCACAGTTTCCCTGGAGGTTTCAACGGCTCGGTACTCTGTGCCGGGGACGGACCGACGGGTGGAGAGGATGCCTGTCAGGGCGACTCGGGAGGTCCGCTTGTGTACCGTGCCGCTGCCACAGGAGGGGAGGCGCAGTACCTGCTGGTGGGGGTGGTGTCCACGGGGATTGGGTGCGGTAATCCGCACTTCCCCGGCCTCTACACCCGCGTGGCCAGTTACGTCCCGTGGATAAGGGCCGTTGTGTTTGGAGAGGAACCTGTAGAAAAGTAAGCGATAAATTGGTCATTGGTCAACGGCAACGCATTGCAAAAGAAATACAGCAGATCGGTAAGAACTAAGAATCCGATCCACAGCTGGATTTAACGGCAGCGAACCATCTTCGTTTCGCCGTGTACTATAAATCGTTTATCATGAATCGTTTATAAATCGTGCACGAACTATTACTTAGAGTAAAGATCCGGACCAACAGGTCTACACAGGCCTCTAAATTCCGTGTACTCCTAAGGTAATGTAAGGTCAGGTAAGGTTTATTCATAGTTTTGGTGTGGGTTTATGCGCTTCTTTTCACATGGAAATGCAGAGCCTGTATAATTAACTCATAAACGATAAGCGATTAGGAGCCTTATCGATGCAGCATGAGCAGTTACACTTACAAGTTACAACCTGTAGAAATGCGGCATTTACTAAAAATAAAATAGCATTCGCCACATTTGCTGTTAAATTGGAATTTATTAGCAAAAGTTTGCTTTCCATAAACACGTCATTACTCATTCTTTCCACGCGCAACACCAAATTGACCTGACGTTCCAAAAATAACGAGGGCAGCATCCAGAATAAAAATGTCGCTGTCCCGACACTTCCCTCTTTAATGAAACTCATCACTTTCCGAACCCTCCGTCCCCGTATCATCAATCAAAGCCAATATGGTGCTGTCGTGGGATGCGATCTGACGAAGGGCGCGGCCGGTCGCCCCAGCAGTCGTTAGAATTCTCGCCAGCTTCTCGGAGAAGCTAACTGACGGAGGTTACAGCCGGCGAGGGGCGCCGGGCCGCCGGCGGAGGCAGGGGAGCCGCCCCTCGCCGCAGCGGAGGGGAGCGCTGACGCCGTGCCCATCTCCGATCCGGTGATCGCCAAAGCCACGGCCGCCGCCCCACAGTTGATCCAGCTAATGCCCACTGATGCGAGGGGAGGCCGAAATGACGCCTGTGAGGAAGACGGATGCCAAACATACTTGTGTGTGTTTCCTGAGCGTTATCCCAAAAGTCGTTTAGCCTGTCAGCGCGAAAATGCTCTCGATTTGTCAGTAGTTCAATATTCGTAGGTATTTGGCACGATATGTATTCAACACAGGCGAACGGGGTGTGATACGAACTGCGAAGTCTCAGCTCTGCGTTGGGTAGAACGGGCCCGTGGAGCGGCTCCGGATGCTGACTGCAAGTGCAGCCACGGAGGCAGTGACACTCCAGGACAAAGAATCGGGGAATTCAGGAGGGCAGGAAACGGAGGTAAATTGTATCATGCCTACCGTCATACAATATTTTATCGGTGTCTCTACATCGGCATCCATATCAACAGTTGATTGAAGAAGCAGAAATACTAAAGATAAAATTTGAAACGTTCGCACGGCGTCCTACGTTGTGAATTTAAAATGCTTTAGGATGCACTTATGACATTGCAAGGTCCACAACGCCATCCAGGGCATCCGGTCGCAACAGGTCGGCAGCATCTGCCGGGCCAAGCCTACGGAGATGAACAACATCGACGGAGTCCTGGCCCGGCCCATTGCAGGAGACCGGACTCAGCACGGAATCTCCACCATCCACTGCTGGATCCAGTCGATGGAGATGTTCATTCACATCGCGTACTGACTCCCGTTCTGCGAGTGGCAGGCCCGTGGAGAGGAGAAGCAGCGGATCGTCAAGGAACAGAAGCAGCGGATCCAGACCGAGTTTCGTCAGCGTTTGGGGCTCCTGATCGACCAGCCCCTTCCTGGCGGAATAGGAACGACCAACGACGGCAACTCGGCCCGCCGCTTCTTCTTGGAGCACGAAACGTCTGCGGGCATCCTGGGCCTTGATTCCACCCTGATCCGCCGCTTCAGCTACCTCCTCCGCGCTGCGTCCTCCAACTTCCACCTCGACGAAGAGCGGTTCGGCGTGTACGCGGTTGAAACGGCCAGGATGTTGGCCAGTCAGTATGGGTGGTTCAGGATGCCCCAGTCGGTCCACAAGCTCCTGATCCATGCTCCCACTGTCTCCGCCGGCATGCTCCTTCCCCTGGGGGCGATGTCAGAGGAAGCCCAAGAAGCCAGGAACAAGGACTTCAAGGCAATCCGGGAGCACCATTCGCGCCAGATGTCCCGGGTTCAGTCCAACATCGACCTGGTCCACCGGCTTCTTGAGACTTCCGGCCCCTTGATCAGCCCCCTCCGGATGCGGAAGCTGAAGACTCCGACGACCACGGCCACGGACCAGTTTCCTTCAGAGGTCCTGGCCCTCCTTCGGGCTCCATCGGTGAAGCTGTAGAGCCTGGGTGGTGGTGGTGGTGGTTGTCTTGCTGGTCGCGGGGATGAACTTTCAGTGTGTGTTATGATGGGGAGGGGAGGCATAAAGTTGCCAACTTTCAGTGTGTGATATGATGTGACATATAAACAGTTTTGTTACAAATCAGTGTGTTTGTTAAAGCTGGCCAACTAAAATCACTCGTTATTTTCTGTTTCTGAGGTAAAATGTAGAAATTCGGTCATGTTTATGCTTATAGATCCTTTTCATGTGAATTTGAACTGAGTTCACTTAAAAATTATTTTTGATCGACTTCTTCGTGAATCTGGACCAGTGTGCATTGCCATAAATAACGAAATAATAGAGATAAGAAAACGATTAGCGACACTTTCCAAGATATTAACCTCGCAGCGAAAGTGTTTTAGGTGCGATAGCAATATGTGAGGACTGAGGATACACAGGCCACAACTTCACCCAACGAGTAAACGAGTTGAAAGAGCGCGTTGATTTCCGTCGAATACAAAAGCGCTAAACTCGCGGAAGAAGAAGTTCGTGGGCGGCACCATAAAGCCTCTAAATACGTTTCGCGCCGTAGTTAGGTTATCGTTCCCGGGGGAAGAAAACAGGTTGGTTTCGGCAGTGCAGTAGTTCTGCCCAGCAAAAACAGACGCCTCGAGCGCTGTATACCGGCGCTGATCAAAGGCGGACTGTGCGTGCGGCATGTTAGGGGCGTGCGTGATGCGTGACGGTCACGAGTTCAGCGACACTTTGGGCTGACCTGCAGGACAGACCTACACGTCCAGAAGAAGTGTGGTTATCCGTTAAATATAGCAGATAGATAAAGCATTGATAACTCAGAATAGTAGAATAATGGCTCTTGCTAATGCAGCAGATCATATGTTTGTTGGCATTGTTTAGGGAAACTTCGTGTAACATCGGCTACTTTGTGACATACGAGTATAATATGTATACCTAAGCCACACCCTTATAAGGCGAAGAACGACTCTCATGAATCCCAGGTCATGGGCAAATGCCTACAACAGCCCACAGAAGTATGAGCTGCTCAGTATGAACAGCAAGGCAAAGTTTCGAACTAAAAATGATGAACACCCTGACGTTATAATCTCTGGGAACCCTGCGAAGCACTAGCTGAGTCTGAACCGCCCCCGATGGACTCAGCCGTTTGGATTACCTCGGAGAATCCTCCGAACTCCTCCCAGGAAGGATCCTCCGTGGACCACAGAAGACGTGCAACTCCTCACTTCCGTCTGTCCAGGGACCGGTCCTCCTTCCGGGCGAGTATCCGGAGCGAGCCGTGAATCCGGACACGGTATCATCAATCCCGGATTAGCTGGGCGGTATGATGGATACTCCGGACAGTTATGGAGCGCACGGGGATTGTAAGTTAGTAAATTACACACCGCGCGGTCGGTGGTCGCTCATCACTAGCCGGTGGGCAGACGAGCCAATCAGATTAGAAAGTCGAGCTGCCACCCGTGCCGCCGCTGCCCTTCCCGTGAATGTAGGGTGCTGGTGATGACGAACGGGTGATGGGATGTGACAAGTGTGACAGTGGCTCTTTGTAACGACTGTAGGTAGTTGAAATGCCCCGCCCAGTCAAACGAAACAGGATTTATTCACTGTTCCATCTGAAGTCCCCACACGTGCCCCCATAACTAACGGTATTGAGTTTTTCTGCTTGAAGCCGTGATCCACCGGCCCAAGGCCTTATATACGTACCGGCCTCAGAGTGGCACAAGTCATAGCTAAAGTGGTCATCTGACACCGTATCACATTATCAAGGGGCTGGCAAACAGCATGAATTTGAGGAGTTTGTTTTGTTGGGTTAGGCCCTTTCGGTCGACAAGACCATTGCAGAGCCGGAAGGATGATAGGAATTAGGGGGAGACATTGGTCTGGGCAGGCACCCTAGTAAGTCGCCGGGGCTGAGCCCGTCCAGAGGACAGGCCACCCAGCCCCAAGGCACTCACTGCACCCGGCTACGGGGTGCGCTCCCTTCGGGAGCAGCGGTGCCGCTCCAAGGGAGCAGCCCGCATGAGATAAAGTTGCCTGTCCAGCCCGGAGGGGGGTTGCGGCGCGGAGGAGAAGGATTTCAGTATCCTGAGGATAGAAGCACGGATAGGTGTGAATTTGAGGAGTATTTATATCGAACTTCCCTCAGCAGATCGATGTCATTAGCACTCCGTTCAGGAAAAAGAACATGGTTGCGGAGCGCGGGGTTTGCTCCAAAAAAGGAAAAGTTCCGAGGATGCAAGGCCACACTGATTATAATCTGATACTCTCTAGTCTCTATATGCTGCCCTTCACTACAGTCAGATGCTTTTCAGGTAATGGCGTAACGCCAATGGCAAACCCACTGTTGACGGGATAATTTAAATTTGCAGATCAGCTGAGCCGTCAAAACCGATCAGCTCGTACGGAAATCTAATCCACAATCAATGCTGAAATTAATGCTAATCCAAGTCAGCCCACAGGGGGAAGGAGAGAAAACTACTTAATCGCTGGCGGATTGATATTTGAGCACACACAGCTGGCTGACTTCCCACCAGTACGTACAATGGCAATGTTTATTTCCATTTAAGCGGTTAGCGTATTGATTTTCAGCTCCCCATAATAGTCATCAATACGTTATTGCGTTTATACAAACGGTACTTGAAATGCGCTTACTCAAATGCGCCATTGTTAAGACCCTCCCACCTTAACATTAGATTTGAGTTGAGATAGCCAAAATGGGGTCCCTGGCTCACAATTACCGGTTTCGGCACTCACAACATCCAGAAATGCCTTAAATCGGAAATATTGAATTTCAAAATTGCAGCATTTTGATTCAGAGGGGCTAATGCTTAGGAAT